CGGCTGCAGGCAGTTCGATCTAATCATGTGATCTGTCGACCTCCACAGCACAACTGAATCAAAACAGGCCTGAAGTTGAGGAGAAAAATTGAGGAGACTCCAGATGGCCATTATAATGGTCTTAGAGACACTCGATCCCAATAAGATTTGCGAGAGGGACGAACGAACATACGAAGAGTTTGACCCGCCAAAAATGATGAGCTAAGATTACGTCATAAGCTCGGTACGCGATCGGACCCCCGCGGTTACTAACAGACTTCAACAAGCGAGGCACGAGCTTCGTGTTGAAGCGTCTGTCTACGAGAGACTAGGGACCACCGGGATCTGCCAATGCCAATCAGCTCGTGAGAAGGTCGCGGACACCGTTGCCATCACCTCTCCCCAAGCGGCGCATCTGCACGCGCCTCTTCCGGCAGCCGCGCCGCCTTCGCCCTCTCCACTCGGAATAACCTTCTTGAGCAAGCAATTCTTGCGACGTACGAGGCAGGATAGGTACGCCCCCGGAACACGGAAACGGATGAGGAAGTCGAAGAGCCCCTATTTGCGGGATTGATTCGAATTACGTCACATCAGCCTTCCACTTTTTCTTTGTCCTTCCTTTCCAGCGCACCTCGCCGGCGCAGCAGACCGAGGCCGCGTCCGAATGGCGCTGCTCTCCTGGCCCGCGCGGGCGTCGCCTCCCCGACGTTCGACCCGGGCCACGCCTTCGTCTCCTCCCCGCTCCTCGCCCCCTCCGCGCTCGCAGCCGCACGCCTCCTCCTCGCGCTCTACGCCCTCTGCACTCTCTGCACCGCCCTCGCGCTCGACCCCGCCGCAGGCTCCGGGGCATCGTTCCTCGGTTTCTTCACGCAGCTCTGGTGCATCGGGCTCGCCGCGGGCGTGCAGACTGCGGGCTACGCGCGCTGGGGAAGGAAAGGATATTGGCTGCGGTGATGAGGAAGGGGGATGCAGGCGGCGCATGTGCTGCTGCAGTCGACGGTCGTGGTGTTCCGTGCGTCCGCGTCTCGTTTTTCTTCTGCGGGTGTGTTAAGATGGGGCGCAGCGTTCATCGTAACGGTGTTCAGGGCGCTGCTCTCCTCGCCCCACACCTTCTCTACGACTTTTTCCTGTGGGTCCGCCTCTCGCTTTGCTCCGGCCGGCCCCGCATTCTTCCTCCGTGTCACTTACTCTCGATCTCCGTCCCGCACTACCACCCCCTGCCGAGTCGTTCTAACCCCTTCTTCTCTCTCACATTTCTCCACTCCCGCCTCCGTGCTCTCCCTTCTGCTCACTGTTCTCACTTGTGCTTTCACTCCTTCACGCATCATGCCCTTATATTCACACTCACCCCACCCGCAGCCTGGTCCAACACCTCCCTCCACGCGCTCGCCTCTTCGCGCTCCTCGAGCTCCTCCTCACCAACGCCCCGCCCGCGCCCCTTCTCGTGCTCCCCGTCCAGATCCTGCTCCTCACAGGTTACCTCGGCGTTGCGTACATCACGAAGGCGAGCCAGAGGTTCTACCGTGAGTGCCGTTCTTCGCGGAGATTTCCGGGTCTAGAATCCTTGCTGCTGCGTTCGGCGTCCCGTGCTTCTCCGCTGTGCCCCCGCTCGCGCGCCGCATTTTCGCGCTCCATGTGTTGCGTGCGTGCCGTCTCGTTACCCGTGCCCCGGTTTTTTTTTGCCTCCGCCTCAATGCCTTGCGTTCCTGCGCTGGCCTTGCGCGTCTGCCTGCCCTCCGCCCTCGCCCCGCCTTTCCCCCATCCCGCCCGTTATCACACTGACCACCGCGCATGTACCGCGAGATCACAGCATGCACCGGCGTGGAGTAGGCGAAGCTCGGTGCGTCTCTTCTTTCCTCTTCTCTGCTCTCTTCTCTCGGGGTCATGGCACGGGGCTCACGACCCGCACAGTCGTGCACGACGCATCCTCCCCCAGCTGGCGACACACCACCTCCTGCACGAGGCTGGGCCCGACGGCTTTGCCACCACACCCATGATTTTGGTATCGCCACTAACCGCATCAGCTCGCTCATCGACGCCGGCCAGTCGCTGCGGTCCACGTCTGCTTGAGATAACCACAGTGAAGTCGGCAAGCAGGAGATGCCTGTTCGACTCAGACCCGAGCCATACGTGGATATTTTATTGATTTTTGTTCAGTTCTTTTAATTGCTGAGGAGATACAGGATAAATTGGAATGTGAATTGGGGGAGGCAAGGCTCGGTGGTGGATGGTCCGTACCTGCTCATAGTAGTTGCGACTGCAGACGAATGCTAGCAAACAGGAGAAGCCTGTTCGATTCAGGCCTCGAGCCATAAGCAGATACTTCATGGTTTTTTTGTTCAGTTCTTTGAATTGCTGAAGAAATGCAAGGTAAATTGAACCATAAGTAGGGATAGGCAAGGCTCGATGGTGGATGGTCCACACTGGTTTTCTCTACTATTTTCGACCGGGCAACCAGCCACCTTAGCATTTATGGCTGGTTCTCGAAAGCCACACTCGCTCTATACAAGCCACAGTGTATCAGAACGAAGGTAAACAGTTCCATATAGTTTCCCGAATTTAGATGCAATGTAAATGGAGCAATGAATTTCCTTCGACCGACACCCCCAACAGGTGCAAATACTAGGAAACCAGCCACCCCACCAATGAAGTGCCATGGGTGCAAACTCGGGGATGTTTCATTCAGGAATGATACATGGGTGATCTAGGTACTATCTGGTATGGTTGGGGTGTCCGTGCAAAGGATGGGACTGGGCAAATTTGGCGGGTGTGACGGCAGCGCTAACCTGCGGAATTGCAGATTCCGGCTACACTGGCGACTCGTCAGGACCACCCGCGGCGGCGGGCCAAAACAAGTGTCACATATAGTGTTATATGAAGTATGTCGACATACTAGGCCCCTCACCTCCCTGCCAAGATGGCACCAGCTCCCCAGAAAAATCCAAACATCTCGGACACCAAATTTTAACGGGTCGGGGAAAAGGGCAGCAATGAGAAGCGATGTCACAGTACAGGAAATGCGGACACACACCAGAGTGAATGGTTCCAACTCTAAAAGGCTCTCCGAAAAATCCAGACCCGTAGCATGGATCGGCTGCCTGCTATAGCCATAACCAGCCTGAGCCAGTCTGAAATGAAGTGAAGTGAAGATCGGCTCATATCGAGAGTACGTGGCACGAATGGAGGCAGAATGCAGTCATAGATTGATGCCCGGAGTTGCGCGAGTAGAATGAGCCCAAGAAAGACGGAGAATTGGTAGAGATAGAGCGAGGGCGGTTGTGGCAAAACAAGAAAACAGTGATCGGAGCGCTTCGGCCGTCACTGCACGTGTCATAACTTTTGATCCGACCATCACTTTTGGTTGAAATTAGGTGTACACCAGCCTTAGAGGTCCCACTCCTTCCTCAAACCCCAAACTTAGGTAGAACAGAAGTTCCCGACTCAATGAGAGTCAAGTGGCCGGTTTCCTCGTGTGGCTGGTTTCCTGGTCGAAAATAGTATAACTTCAACATCTGAGTTTCCGGGAGGAGCTTGTTCGAATCAGGCCCGAGCGATGTGTCATCATCGTTCTGTTTTTTTCTTTGAACGTCTTAGATCCTTTCTATTGCTGAAGAAGTGCAGGATACTTTGAACTGTGAAAACGGGTAAAAAGGTTCAGTGGTGGATGGTCAACGACTGCGTGTTATATCAATAGAAGGGCCCGAGCCGTGGTTGAGCGCGACAAGTTTTTATAAAAGGTGCTGACACGCCTACCGTCCGTCTGAGCGCGAGCTGAACCCTAAATAGGGCAAAGGTTGCACAGAGAGGAAGGAGGAGTTAACTGTGCGAGTGTTTCAGTAGTCAACGGTTCCGTGACTGATAACCGTACGCCTGACTGGATGGAAGGGTGAGCAACGGAGGCGTAGGCGTGAGCGTAGGCGGAACGGGGACAATACGGAGGCGAGACGTGGGCGGTGAGCTGTAAACTGATGGGATAAAACGGTGATATTCGGAAGGGGGATCCAAGTATGAGCTAAGTTACAACAAGTAGCCTAGCTTTTATATGTAGAAGAATGTGAAATAGAGACATGATGTGAAATAGAAGTTGAAATAAAATATGAGAGATGTGAAATATAGTCCAATAAATATTACAGAGGCATGGAAACGGGAAATGGACCACATGGAAAGATAAACAAACCATATGGCAAGGGGTATTTTGCAATGCTGAGGTGAAACGGGGGTACTCGAAGTGCGATCGGCGGGATGTTTGGTTCGAAGGGTGCAGCTAAAGTGCGCATCTCGGAGGCCAGCGCAACGCGAAGCGCGTCAGTGCGACGGAAACAAATCGCAGCGAAATCAAGCCAAGAATTAGGATAGACAAGGCTCGATGGTGGATGACCCACATCTGCTTTATGTGGCAATACAACATCCAATACAGTACAGCCAACAGGAGCAGCCTGTTCGAACCAGGCCCGAACCATGGGTTGAGGATGCGAAACCTGTTAATTTGCCGAAGAAAGGAGGTAAATTGAGCTGTGAAGGGAGGTAAGAAAGGCTCGGTGGTGGATGGTCCACAACTGCTCCCTATAGGTGAAGTAGGATTAGAAATCGTAGTAAGCACGAGGAGCCTGTTCGAATCAGGCCCGAGGCATTGGGGAACCATCAATTTTTTTATCTCTCAAATTGCTGAAGAGATGGAGTAAATTCAACTGTAAGCAGGGGTAATGAAAGGCTCAGTGGTGGATGGTCCATACCTGCTTCCTATACGTGCCACTAACACAAGGCGGCCAGCGGGAGAAGCCTGTTCGAATCAGGCCCGAGCCATTCAGGAGATGCCTTTTATTTTTGACATGTTGAACCCCCAAGGAAATGCGGGTAAATCGAGCAGTGAAGCGAGGTAAGAAAGGTTCATTATAATAGTGCAGATTTTAGCTTGCAGAAGGAGCCTGTTCGAACCAGGCCCGAGCCATTAGGGATTGAATCTGACGATTTATTGCTTTGTTGAACTATCGAGGAAATGCGGGGTAAATTGGAGTATGAAAGGCTCGGTGGTGGATGGTCCATACCTGTTTCTTGTAGTAAATTGGCATATGCCAGTAGGAGGAGCCTGTTCGAATCAGGCCCGAGCCATATATGGGTCTGAATTCATTTTTTCCGTGTTGAATTGCCGAGGAGAGGTAGGATAAATTGAACCACAAACTAGGGAAGGAGAAGGCTTGTTGGTGGATGGTCCACACCTGCTTCTTGTGATACATATCTGTACAATAGCCAGCCGGAAATGCCTGTTCGAACCAGGCCTGAGCCATAAGCAGATACTTCATGGATTTTTGGTTCAGTTCTTTGAATTGCTGAAGAGATGTAGGGTAAATTGAAGTGTGAATTGAGATAGGCAAGGCAAGGTGGTGGATGTCCCACAACTGCTTCTTGTACGTCGTCTTAAATTGTGCCCGCAGGAAGAGCCTGTTCGAATCAGGCGCGAGTCATACAGGGGATGGGTGTTGAACTGCCGAAGAAATGCGGATAAATTGAGCTGTGAACTGAGGTATGAAAGGCTCGGTGGTGGGTCCAACCTGCTTCCTATACGTGCCACCAACACAAGGCAGCCAGCATAGGGAGCCTGTTCGAATCAGGCCCCAGCCATAAGTGAACATTGAGTCCCTTTTTGTCCCTTTAACTTGCCGAGGAAGTGCAGGGTAAATTGAGCTGTGAATTAGGGTTGGGAAGGCTCGGTGCTGGATGGTCCATACCTGCTTCTACGTAGTTGGAGTAAGATAGGGTAGCCAGCAGGAGATGCCTGTTCGAATCAGGCCCGAGCCATTCATGATTGATGAGCGTATTCTTTTTTATCCCTCTAATGGCCGAAGAAATGTCAGGTAAATTGAACCGTGCATAAGGGTACGAAAGGCTCGGTGGTGGATGGTCCACAACTGCTCTCTGTATGCCCTTGGAAGCTGTCACCAGCAGGAGATGCCTGTTCGAACCAGGCCCGAGCCGCTTGTTGAAAGCAGGCCCTTTTTGTCCCTCTAAATTGCTGAAAGAATGCGGGTAAATTAAACCATAAGTCGGGGTGTGAAAGGCCCGGCGGTGAATGGCCTACACCTTCTTCTTGTACGAAATCTTTGATTATGCCCTCAGGAAGAGCCTGTTCAACTCAGGCCCAAGCCCTGGTCTCGGCACATAGCATGTTTGTCTCCCACCCACAACTGAATCCTTGCATAAACAGGAGGAGTGGGCAAGGCTACATTCAGTTATCCTTCATCTCCGTATACTTGTGAGCCGACTTCGCCTGTTCGACTCAGGCTCGAGCAATGGGGCAAATGTGCTCTTCTCTTTTTTAAAAATTTTAGCCTCCCTCCCAGTCTCTCTCTCCAACTTAGTCATCTGCGAAGTCTGATCTACTGGTAAGGGAGTCCAAGAAAAGACTTACTGTAATTGTGGGACGAAATAAATAAAATAGAAATCTGGAGGCCTGGGTGATGGCTGAGTCGAACAGGCGGGGTCTATTGCAGATGAAGCTTGCCGGTCACTGGATGCAGATGCGTGCCGTGCGCTACCGAGCCAAGGGGGAGTAATGGAGTGATAATGAAATAGATACGAGACTTACCTAGATCGGAGCGATAGAGGAGAAGGAGGCAGCACTAATGAATTAGCAAGAATCGTGTTGAATCGGAGTGAAAACCGCCGCGCGCGATTGCGCCGGAAAAGACTGTCGAATGTATGCGCAGGTCGGGCGAAGTGGAGCTGCAAGGTAATGCTAGGGCGAGTGGTGCATGCATTGTGGGAAGGGGGGATGAGACGAGGGAGTAGGGAGGTGAGTTGTTTGGTGTTGTGGCATTCGGGTTGATCCGAAATGGGCGCTTGTTGGGCGTTTACGGGCTCAGCGCGCAAGCCGTTGCCGACAGAATACGTCCGCGAGCTCATGAATGACTCATGACCGACTCGCACGAGTGTGTCTTTTGCTCTCGGCTTTCCATTTCCTCATGATCACTGTTTCAACGTGGTGTGGATGGGAATGGCGGGAGTATCGCTGATGAATCGCCTCAGACACTTCTATCCTTCATAGGTTCGCGCACTCTCGAGCTCCTGCTGGGTGTTTTATTCACTGACCCTCTGCGTGGCCATCAACCGGGCCGGGAGTTGTTGAAGTGTGGTTATTTTGTTGGAAAATAAGAAATGAAGCATAAATAATTGTGCGAGCGTTTAATTGCTTACGGGACCATTCCATTCTTGTGGTGGTCGTCAAGTGAGGTACATGATACACATCTGAATGCTATTCTGGCAATCTATTGTCATTGGATGGGGATTGTACGTAGTTCTGTAGGGAAGCCTTCATTGATCAAGTCAGATACTGTATGACATTGTGAATGGATGCTGAGCGCTGAGGGTGCTGTTCCTCTGACAACAGCCCAGGTCCTTCGCCGCATCTCTCCATCTTCCCTCATGTCAAGTTCTAGCAATCCTCCAGCAGCATCCGGTTCCCCTCAACAGAGAGGAGGGGCAACCTCCCAAGCTGTCCAACCATCTGTCTCAAACTCGGACTGGCTGGCAACCTCCCTTGTGACCGCAAAAGCAGTTACGGCAGGAGCAGAACTTCTGCCTTTCCCTTACGTGAAAGGGGTCTTTGGAACGGTGGTGATCATCTTGGAAACAATTGAGGTTTGGTCCCTTCTCAGTTGTGTGGAACACATGTTCAAGTTTAATTACAACAGAAAGTGAAGAAGAATCGAGAAGACCTGAAGGATCTGTGCAGCAATATTATGGAAATCATCAAGACTATTGATACGCCTACTCCGGGGCTAAGAGCGGGAGCTGAACAAATAAATGAACAACAACAACTCCGAGTGCGGGAGTAATAGACGAGGGTGTGCGAGGTGGGTCTAAGACGTCCCAATACCAGTCAGGTAAGTGTGAGGGTGACTCCGGCTATGGGCGAGAGGCGTGGACGAGGGCGTGAGTGCAAACGGTGCGCAACTGTGGTCGAGGGCGGCGAAGGACACGGGGCTAATACTGCGAAGGCTAAAGATGGTGATCGGGGGTCGACGTAGGACACTAAGCTAATCTAATACGGGGTCGATATCTAATGCGGGGAAGGACTGTGATCGGAGGACGACGGAGGACGCGAGGACGAGGGCGATACGCTGCGAAGCGATGCGCTAAAGCGAGGCTAATGTGAGCTGTATTGCAGGGGGGGTGCAAGTCACTACTGTACATCGTATACTTCGGGGCCTTTTATAGTACATGGGTGGGAATAAATATCTAAATGGAGACATAGAGCGGACTCTAGGACTCGGACAACGTGCCTGAATACGGAGCAGAGTGCCCTGAAGTCCGTACGGAGTTGGACTCCGTGAGTCGAGCCAGGAACAAGTCCGCAGACCAAAAGGGGAAATTGTGTCAAACTGTGGGAAACTCCGGTCGCAACCCAGCTGTCGCAAACTCCGGAAACCGAAAAGGGAAATTGAGTCAAACGTGGGAAACTCCGGTCGCAACCCAGCTGTCGCAAACTCCGGATCCCACGCTAAGGGAGCGCTGGTGCACATCACTATTCAAGACCAGCTTTCCTCTCACGGCGATACAGCTGCAGTAAAATTCAAAGGGTTATGCGAAAACCTTGAACGGTGAATGCCGGGACTTGTTCATCTCAAGTATATGTTACTGATGTTGATCTGGTAGTGTTCTTCAGGATATTTTGAAGGCAATGAAACAGTTACAGAAAGAACCCCGAGGATTCAGCGGGTGGTTCAAAGAAATTGTAAAGCTGAAGAGTACCACAGATGAAATTTCTGGACATCAAATGAAAATCCAAGAACTACGGTTGAATTTCCTGGTACATATGATCCATCTCCATTATGCGGCTTCTTACCAAATACTTTAGCTCATGGCTGCAATTGACACCAATCTGCAAGTTTACAAAGGCTTTTCAACAGGTATATGACCCTGCATAGTTCACCCAACTCTAATCACTTTCTTCCCCAACAGGAATAGATTCAACTCAAACTAAAGTCCCCCAGAGTATCAACAATTGTCCTCCTCCCACCAGAATCTTCCATGGGAGAAAAACGATTCTGGACAAAATGCATCAATACTTCACTCAGAACATGCAAAAACAATGCATCTTCTTGCTACATGGTCTTGGTGGTGCAGGGAAAACACTGATTGCACTAAAGTTCATAGAGCAATCAGTGGCTCAGTGAGTCCATCTGCCAGGCATTTAAAGTGTGACTCACGTATTACTAGATTCACTGATATATTTGTCATCGACACCAGCACTGTTGCGACAATTGATGCAGGCCTTAAAATGATTGCCACAACAAAGAGTGTTGGGGATTCATCAAAGGATGCTCTTCAATGGCTTAGGAGTAAACAAGATGAATGGCTTCTATTATTTGACAATGCTGATGACCCCAAAATCAATCTCAACAATTATTTCCCCCAATGCAGTCATGGAAACATCATCATCACATCCCGAAATCCTGGACTCTGTGTTTATGCTGGCTCACATTGTACTGTCTCTGACATGGAAGAAGAAGATGCTGCGGATCTCCTCCTAACAAGTGCTGCCCAAGATATCACAGATTATAACGAAGATGTTGCTGCCCAGATCGTAAAGGTGGGCTGAAGGATTTTTCATATGTTCTGTTTAACATTTCTTCAGGCACTCCACTATCTTCCACTTGCAATCATTCAGGCTGGGGCATTTATCTCGAAATCCGGAAATCTTGGCAGTTATCTAGCCCTGTATGAACACAACAAGGCTCGGCTTCTCACTGAACAGCCTGTCCAAACACATGACAACTATTCATGGACAGTTTATACTACATGGCAAATTAGCTTTGAGCAGCTCAGTGAACAGGCCAAGACATTCTTGAAGCTTTGTTCATTCCTCCATTATCACGGAATCTCAGACAATATCTTCAAGAATGCCACAAATTATGTGATTAAACCCTCCAACTTATCAAAAGAAGAGCTCGAGATGCCAGTCAAGGTGCTGTTGCAATTTTCAGACCCCTCTGGCACCTGGGATCCCTTGCGCTTCACAAATGTGACAAATGAAATCAGGGCATACTCCCTGATCAACTTTGATCCAGAGAAAAATATGTTCTCAATTCATCCCCTGGTGCACGACTGGACTCGCAGCACCCTCTCGGATGAGACATGTCATCAATGTATGGTTGCAATCACAGGAATTTCACTCAGAGGGCAACCAGAGGAATATATACGTCTAGCAAGTCTATGGATGCTGCCCCACATTGATTTACTAATCAACCACAATTCGAATGCAATCCAAGACTTCAGACATGATTA